GCCGTCCTTATTTCCCGGCTCGAAGGAATTCGTTCCGTCCGTCTCCGCTTTCTGGCGGACAGATATATTCATTCTTGCCTGAGGCGACCGTTCTGTCCCTCAGGCGATTCTGAGCCTCATTCCCTGAAGGCGAGTAGAATTATTGGAGCAATTCTCTCTGGTCCAACGTCTCGGACAGAAGTGACGCTTATCAGGCTCCGCTGGTCTGACAGCTCTCCTGTTTGTTCCCCGGGACGGTTGCGAGCACGCGAGGCTTTTCCGCGAAGACACGGCTTCGATTTGCTCTTAGGGAAGGAGCTCTGTTTGCCCTGTCAAAGATCTTCTGCAACACAGCGATATAGGAGCTTCCGGATTCATTTCTGTCCACTTCAGAGTGACAGCGAAGTGTTCTCGGATAGAGCGTGGCGAGGACGTAAGGGGCTTGGAAGGGCCTTCGATGTCGTCGCAGCCATACCAAGCCAAATATACGGGGCTCAGCGACCGAAGCAGCGAGCGCAGACGTGTGTCCAATAAGATCGGAGTCGGCCGAACTCCGTCTGAGTTTTGCGTCCTTCGGAATGAAGCTTGTTTTATGATGGGGAAAAGTTTTATCGTGTTGCGCCCTCGGCTGTTAGTCCAGCTGGCGACGTCAACAACGTCGGCGAAAACCACTTCTGCGCAAGTTGTCGATTGATGGAGAAGACGCATAGCATTAGCTTATCGCAGCGGGCCGGACGGCCGGCTCGCTGACGTCGTCTCGTCTGTCGGTCGGTCCGTCCGTCCGTCCGTCCGTCCGTCTGCCCACAGATTCGTTCGTTTGTTCGGAGTCCATCCGTTTGTCGTCGAGATAACTGTGAGTGGAGAGCGCAAGGGACTCGTTGCAAGTGTGCTAGTCAGTCGCTCGCTTTGTCGCTCTAAGAGCCGAGCAGTCTCGACGGCCGGTCAAACGCAACAGGCCGACAACGAAGCGACCGGAAACTTCACGATACCCCCCGCGACTGGCAGAAAGCATGATAGAAGCAAATGAGGACTTGGAAAGAGCATGCGTCGGTCGGCCCCTAATTTCACAATCGTCTGGAGCCACCCGACCCCGACGAGTGCGAGTCGCGAAAACGGCGAAACCGCGCGCCGCTCATCTAAACGTAGAGGAGCTTTCTCCGGTGCAAGGACCGAAATGATCAAAGACTTTGGATCTTGGAGACTCTCCTTTGAAGCATTCGGACGGATGTATCGTTACACTTGGAAGCTGGTTCTACAATTGACGTTTACTGTTCAGTCAGATCAACATCTCTGGGTTTGTAAATAAGGTGGAGCTGATCTACAAGCTCATGCTGGGTTTCCGGAAGTTTTATACCAGGGAAAACTCACTCTCTTACCCCTCGGGAATTTTCAATTCTCACCCGTGAGCGCGGTTAAAGAGGACCCACCGAGTGTGAACGGTCCCAACGAACAAACGAGGAGGAAGAGGCGACCTAGAAGTTGACTAAGAGCGAGTGCCCATAAAGAACACCTGATGGCAGTGCGGGGGTTCAGCTGCTCCGTCTTCGCTTGCTCTAATTACGGTCAATGTTCTTCGCGTGTGTCTCCGCACTGGCTCCCAGCTCCATCGACTCTTGTCCTGAAGAGCAACACTAAAGAAGAAGAACAAGGAGAAATACTCCTTTTTCAGAGCCCAACTTTGCTCGTCTTGTTCTTGGCTTGCCGGCCGCACGGACGCTCGGGATTCGGGACGCCGGCAGGGCGGATCTTAAGTCCCCGGGCAGACAGACGGGCAGCCGGACGGATGGACGAACGAACGCTTAGGTCCCAGAGAACCGACTGCACCGTGGAGCAGCCGCGGCTGCTCGGATGGCTCCGGTCGCCCACCCGCCCGAGATGTCAGCTCGGCTGCGTGTATCTGTCCTCTCTCATAATAAAAAATGCCACTAAGTCAGGAGAAATCTCACCAGAGACTCCTCTGCGAAAGAAGTGGCTTGCTCTTCCCTTCTTGTCCTCATCTTCACTCCAGACCACCCCTGAAACCATACTGCTTTCGGACGCGATTGTTCGGTTATAGCAGATTCCCCACGCAACGGATGGCAGCCACAGAATCCTCATGTTCTACTATCTCCCTCATCTCCTTCCGTCGTCTCCTATTTTGTGCTGCTGACGCGGTTTGAGCGAAATCCCTTTCCGACAACAGAAGTAGCAGATACTTCGGCTAACAGAGAAGGTCCCGGGCGGAGGGTCAGTCGTCAAGCGGCAAGCAATATATCTTGTCAACCTCGCAGTAATCGCCCACGAGAGCTCTCCCTCCCCCGCTGGCGAGCCGAGTCTTATGGAAGAATGAAGTAGATGGCGCCGGGGTCAACAGACATCTGGAGGAGTCAGCACTTCAACTCGGCATCAATTAGAGAGCTCACTATCGCTCAGAATGTCACTTTTCTATGCGTCACCTCTGGGGACATTCTCCTCATATTGGAAGTGGCCGAGTGCGACGCTCGAAGTAATCGGCAGACGTCTGAAAATCTTTGTCGTCCTGTTCTCGATATTCTCCGGGGCAACAGCCCTCCGACTGGTCCGCTATCTGATCCGATGGGAGCTATCGGACATGCGAGAGGCCAAAAGCTTAGCGTTGCCCCCGCAGCAAGACGGCAAGTCCCGATGAGCAGCTTCTGTCGGCTCTGCACTTTTTAACGAGCAACATTAGCCGAAACAGCATTGTGATGCTCATCTCTCCATGGGAGAGTCCGACTTTCTGTCCTAGTGACTGTCCGCTTTCGAAGTTACAAGTACGAGGGGGCTCATCCGAGAGAGTCCGAGGACAATCGAACGAGCGAACGGAGGAAGAACGAATTGAAGCAAATGAGAAGCCAGAGCCGGGATAGGGGTCCACGGAGAAAGGAAACGGCAGGAGCGAGACTTGTGAGACAATGAGAAATAGGCAGAGAACAGCCGCCGAAAAGAATTCGGAGAGGGATAGAAGCGGCTGCGAAAAACGATGGGGCCTCGTTAGAAGACGGTGGGAAGGAAAAAGAGACACGGCACATAAAATAACAATTGTTAAATTTCCGACACTCCCGCCTTAAGGGCCACTTCGCAGCCGCGTCCATCGTTGTCTTTGTTACCGCTGCTTCGGTTGTCTCGACTCTCTCCTCTCTCAATTTTCCATGTCCATTCGGCCTCAACACTAGGTATGTCACAACAAATGACCAAAAGATGACGACAAGAATTCCGAGGGAAGTGATTCCCTCTCCAGCATTCATGCGCTCGTTGGGTCTGGCCACCAGCTGCAAACGGGTCCGACTCGGGACTTGGCCAGGGAATGAGGGATCAATTAGACAGCAGAAAAGGATCACAGTGGCGTGCTTCCGAGAGACGGTGTCCCACTTATTGCCCATCTCTGCAGTAGTAGATTCTCTGTGAATGAGACTGGTCTCCGGGAGCCATCCTTGATTGGATGCGAGCCGCGAGCCAGTGTATCAGAGGAATATCAAATGGGAAGAGATTGAGAGAGAACTCAGATCCAAAGTATCTGCTTGCATTTCACATACAGCCAGAGCTAGTGAAATACGTGGCTACAAAGATTCCTGTCGGTCCGCTCCGCTGATCGCTCAGCTGGCTCGTGCTGATAACGAGAATTGGAAGAACCTCTCGGGAACAGCTTGCATATGAAAGGCGGGGGGGGGGGGGTGCACGACATTGGAAGGCGGAGGACCTCAGCCTTTCCCGGGGAAGGCAGAGCTTGGCAGACAGACACCCACATCCAGCGAGTCGAGGAGGCAAGGGGAATTGGGTAGGCGGATGGGGCTTCCGCCTGTGTCGCCTTGACTTAATCATCTTCGTCACTTCTTCGCGCCGCGGGTTCGAGCCGGGGATTCTGTTAATCCATCGAGTACATCTTCACGAAGGTCACGATGCATCAGCGGTCTGGCTGCATAAAAATAATGCCCATCGGGAGGCGAGGAGGCACTTCACAGCTCATTGACTTGTGAGATGGAAATCGATGGCTGCGCGGTCAGGCTCTCTCTTTGGTGAAGATGACCGATAGGAGCGGACTCCGCCGATCACCGGCGGACTGTCATGTTTCATTTGAAGTCGGTGCGAGAAACGCGGACAAAGGACTCACAGACGGATAGAAGATGTGCTCGGGAAGGGCCGAATCCGCGAACTGGCACTATAACCTTCAACGTCGTCGGCAGCTAAATCAAAGGAGACGTTTGGATGACTGCTTCCCGGCTGCTCCTCTGGCTCTTCGTCTCCTCTCTCGTTCTCGTCGTATCTCTTTCTTTCCTCCGTTTTCTTTGGCCGTCCGTTTCTGAGACGTCCTAGCTTGCTTGCTAGCTCGATCTAATGGAATATAAAGTAAGCACTCTTAATGCACCTCTTAAATCCCCGCCGCTGCCACTAGCAGAAGCCGGTTGCTCGACTGGGCGGTTGGGTGGCCGTCCGGTCGGCGGTCGACCATTCCGCTTCCCTCGGCGGTGTGTCGCCCGTTCGCAAGTCGCCGTCTCTTTCACAACCTACATCTAAAGTTCGAAGGATTCTCAGCTGGCCCTCGGAGGGGGCTCGTTTTGTTGAGAGTACCTTTTTCCTTCGATTCGACCCCGCTCTACATTTGTCGCTGCCCGTAGGTGCATTGCGAGCGCCTCACATCTGATTTACCTAGCTCCAGTAGCTGCGAAACTCTGACTGAGTGGAAGAGCTTAATCTATGCAGGCTGGATGCTTTTAGAAGTTCCTCCTAGCGGGCCCTCCCTGGAGAGATTGGCGACTGAAACAGCGGATCCACAAACCATTGGACCATTGGTCGGGATTCCAGAGAGCTGTGTTATTCAAATCGAAAGTCGGGGAGTTCCACAGTCCTTGAACTTATCCAGATCGAAATTCGCGGTGTCTGAAGTGTTTCCACTTTTCTCCTTCCAGGTTACGTGAACTATAACAGCCTGAACCAACATGGAGGACTGTCAGGAGGTCTTGGGGGAGGAGAACTCGATGGCCATCTTCCGGCTGGGCTTGCCTGTCACAACCCGGTTGTCCAACAGCAGCACAACGATCACTCATCGTTTCCGTCGCAGTACAAACGCTTCCCCTGTAGTAGAGGTGAGTTTCGTTTCCGACGAAATATCGCCAAGTGACCGCGGAACTTTTCGCAGACTTCTAAATTGGTCGCGATCTATTGTGTGTGGAGAGCCAGGCATTACGAGTTCTGTTGGGAGCGGGAACATAATTAGAGTTGGGCAGTGCGCGACCTTTGCCTGGGAGAGATACCGGAGGTCAACGAATCAGCGAGTAGGATTTCCTGTGCAGAATCTGTCGACGCGCTCCCCAGATGTACGTAATCTCCCCAAGGAGTTGGAATGACAGCCGAGCTTTTAGATAATTCAGTTTCGAACTGAGAGCTCCATCCCCGGTCGCTTTCCCCCCGCTCGTTCGTTCGCCGTGGTCTCTCCTCGCACCGCGAAATAGTCGACTGGAAATCTGGATGAGTACCTACACGTCGAACGGTCTGTACTGCACTCAATCCCACGGAGTCGGCGCCAGCCGGCCAGACAGCAAATATTTTATTAGAGCCACTCGAGGGTCAATGATTCATCAACTCCAACTTCTGAGACAATCACGGCGGCTTACCGCTCCCGCGAGCGGATGAGCACCCTGGTTTTGAAACTTCGTCCTATGTAAACCTACCTTGCGCCACCGACTCAGCGGACCGGCGTTCATTCTCGGAAGCATTCAATTAACAGCGGCCGTTTCTGCTTTTACAGCCCATCAGATACGGAACTATGGACATACACGAGGTGAGAACCCTTACTTGACGACCCCTTTGCGTACATAATAGTAGGTATCGACGAACGGAGGGAGCAGTTCAATTTGAATACGGAGCCTCTCTTTCGCCAACCCTCCGGAGATGGAAAGCCTATCAAAACAAGACTTGGAAACGATTGGGGCTGAGTTCCTCAGCCCCTCTTCCTTTAGCTAGATGACTACCTACTCGCGTGGTCGGTCGGTCGGTCGGCTGGTTGCCCCCTCGGGCGATGAGATGTCATCCTGTACCTATATCCCTCCCCTTTCACCGAGTTCCCATCCCTCACTTCTACTCTCCGCCTCTCCCTCTCTCTGACGCCGCGACGAGTCCCACTTCTCCGCCGCTTGGGCTTCCTGGCATGTCCCTCCAGCCTTCGTTCTCGCTTTCCCCGAGAGCTCTCTCCATCTGCTTGAACCAATCCGAGAATTGTGTTAGCCCGAGGCAAGCTTCCGATGGCTGTTCAGCGTCACGCTATCTGCAAACTAATTTCTCGCCGCTTGGTGGACATCTTCGAAACGGGTTACTGCTTCTGTCTTCTGTTGACCGCTGTATGACTGGAAAACGTCACCTGTCACAGAAAGCGGCATTCAACCGATTCGAGCGGAGACGAATCGAGAGATGCTCAAGAATGATCCTCTCTCCTGGAGACGTTCGCTGCTGGTGTCCGGGACTGCTTCCGGGCGATCTCTCCATGCCTGAAATGGGAAAAATTGGAATGTACTCATCCGCGTCAGATCAGGAATAGGAACCTCTTGATTCGTGGTCACGAGAACCTTCTACATAGATTGCTCATTCCATAAGTACTCCGTTCCATGAGATCTTCATTCTTCACAACTCACAGCTTGGGCGGCACACCCTCGCTTACGCCGGCGCTTCTTGGGCGAACGGTAGCAGACAGCAGATGCACTCGGGTGGATCGAGCACGGCTCGTCTGAATCTCGCCGGCAGTGTGAATCGAACACACACTTGCGGTAATCCTCGTGGGGAGCTCGGGGAAGGCTGCTCGGAACCGACACCGATTTCGCTGTACACTTTCCAGCAGCATGAATGACCTGAGTGACCGTTTCGCTCAAAGATAATGCTTGCGCACAAGGCGTGCAGGCCCCACCGCCCCACGGACCGCTAACCAGCGCTCTTGGTTCCCTTCTAGATCCTGTAGAACATCGATATATACCAGGTGTATGCTCATGAAATGAGACAAAATTTGCTGAAAACTCGAGTTTGTAATTTTTTATCAGAAGAACTGATCTCATTCGAAGTACGCGCCGTCGTTGCTAATACACGACGCCCATCTCTCAGGCAATCGATGGATTCCGCGCCAATAAAATTCTAGAGATTTTGAGGCGAAAAAATTGGTCACCCAATTTTGAACATTTTCGAAGGTCTCGAACTTCTGCACTGAAAGTGCATGACCCATTGCTGCGAACAGGTGGTAGTCGGACGGGGCCAGGTCTGGGGAGTAAGCGGGATGGGGTAGCACTTCCCAGTTCAGGCTTTCGATGGTCCGCGAGACGTCGCTAGAAGTGTGGCAGGGTGCGTTGTCGTGCAACAAGATTGCTCTCTCGCGCCATGACCAAATTTCGGGACGGATGTGACGCATGGCATAGTACAAATTCGTCAATTGCTGGATGTAACGATCGCTGTCGACTGTTTGGCCGGGCTTCAGAAGCTCGAAGTAAATAACTCCACGCTGGTCCCACCAAACGCACAGCATTGCTTTTTTCCCGAAGCGGCTCGGCCTCACGGTGCTCGAAGGTGCTTCCCCAGGGTTCACCCACGATTTCTGACGCTTCGGATTTTCGAAATATATCCATTTCTCGTCGCTAGTGACGACGCGATGCAGAAATGATTTCCTTTTGAATCTATCGAGAAGGATTTTGCTGATTGTCTTACGGGCCTCTTGTTGTCTTTCCGTCAATTCATGAGGAACCCATCTGGATAGCTTTTGGATTTTCCCCATTTCGTGGAGCCGTCTGGAGATCGTCGATTGATTAACGCCGAGTCTCCCGGCAAGCTCCGCTTGCGTCTGAGTATCATCCTCGTCTAGTAATGCTTGCAGATCGAGGTCCTCGAATTTCTGTGGAGGTTTCCCACGATCTTTTGTTTCGACAGTGAAATTCCCATTCCCAAATCTCAGGAACCATCGGAATGTTTGAGCGCGACTAAGGGCTCGTTCACCGTAAGCTCTGCCGAGCATTTCATGAGCCTCCGTCGCAGTTTTCCCGAGGTGGAAACAAAAAATCAGCGCTTCCCGCTGATGAGCATTTTTTGGGTCGAAATCGGACATTATCAGTGAGTCGGAAATTTTATAGACAACGATGTGCGAATCAAGCACCTATCGGATATTATGGCCCGAAGATTGGATTGAGAGATAGGATATATAGAGTTTCTCCACGTTCGCCGCAGCGGCCGGAGCGCGGGCTTTTCAAATTGTCTCATTTCATATGCATACACCTGGTATCTTCACGCTTGCAAGGCAAGAATACTTACGTCGATGTCGAACCAAGAGGTGCTGAAAGTGATCGGGGCTCAAAGCGATGAACCGAATCCCGCAGCGCTCGAAGTGGCGGCCAGGCGGGTGACACTGAAACGAAGAGCTCTCCAAGGCCTGGGAACTCTATTGCAACTGATTGAAGGTGCTTTAGCGCGGTCCACTCAAGCTGGTAGTCTGATTCGGCCAAGTACTGACACCCTATCGAGATCCATAAATCGCAGGCGTGGAAAATTCATGAGACCAATGGCCGCCCCTCAAGATCGCTCCTCGATAGTCGTTCCCGATGAATACACACTATTCGAAAGTGAGCCCGGAAAATTCGAAAAATTCCTCATAGGCGACACAGGTGAGCCGCTCACTTCCAGCCGTT